TGCCTCAGTCCGCAATCACAGGGGAACTTGATCATCGAGATAAGATGCTTCACTGATATTGGGCCGCTTTCCATGACGGCTTCATGGTGAAACGAGAACTCTTCGATTGAAACGATGGTGTAATGTTGAAAAAAAAACTTTTTAGTGATGCTTATTAAATATTGTTGGAAAATCCGTAGAATTTTATGAATAAATTTATTGGTAACTAATGCTATTTCTGACCGAATTCTATGAACTGAATGAATAAGGCATACCGGCACACGCACACATTGGTCGCCGTGAGCTTCAAAAGTGTTGTCTGGATTAGAAGACCTCTTAACATTCTTGATGTCTACTCCCTCGAAAAATGTTAGCCTTGAATTATTTGGTTGCTGACTCGCCTCTAATGGTTAGCGAAGCCCTCAACAAGGACGAGATAGAGGGCAGAGGCAGGCGTTAGCGGCTCACTTCCCCTCGACAGCCTCACTTACCCTCTAATTTGGCTCTCCCTCACCTGTGCTCCGCGTGTGCTGCAATCATGCCCTCACGCGAAGTTCAGAGTTTATATTCTATATTTTAATGGTAAACTCTTCACGATTTCGTTATCATTTGGCTGATATATGTTTGATATTGTCATTGTAGCCAATGATGCCTTAACAAATGAACTCATCGCATTTAAATAACAGTCGCGAAAAATAGAGAATCCCACTCAGGTATCGAACAAAACTCTTTTCAATCTAATGTCGTATAAAATTGGCAGTATGAAGCGTGGCATCTCAATGCGCAAAATCAATAAAGATACTTTATATTCCCTGCAAGATATATTTCTTTACATCCAGCTTGGCTCTAAATGTACAAGTCGATTTAGTTTTGAATGCTGAAATATTGATAGCATAGACACAATAGTTTTCAGTAACAAATGCAGCCAGAACATACTACTTTTATTTTATTTCATATTTCATGTATACTATATACTTAAACCTTTGATCTTAGATTCATTTATCGCTGTCAATGTTATTCGTACCTAGTGGCTTGGGACCGAGAAGTCCCATCAGTCACACATTAAGGGGTAATAATCTTGCCAAAACACTTTAAAATATTAATCAATATTTAATTTATACGCGTAATTGTAACCGTAATTAATGTTACTGAGCAGTTTTTGGTGGTAAGAAAAGCTGGACGAGAAATAAGCTCGTTATTGAGATAAGATCTGCGCGTGGTGGCGCTGACACTGCAACGCGATCACTCAGAACAGCGGCTGACAGTTTGCCGTCACAGTCACGACTGTCGGAACTGCGCCAGACAGATTGTGACGTGTCTGTCTGGGCATAACTGCGTTAATGAGCTGCACGAGTTTACCACACTAGGTATACCCTACAGTATACATGGCACTAGGTTTACTCGGCATATTGCGTGCTGAGGGAACGTGTGCGTGATGATTTAATTGTTCTAATGAGAGTCGCACGAACAGTTTAATGGTTCGCAACAGAAGTCAAAGAACTTTTCCTCATACCATTCACCGAAAGCATACGTATACTCAATCAATCGAACAGGGCATTTTTTCCACATCTGTAGAGCGCAATTAGATTCGAACATAATACATTCTCCGTATCGGGCAGTATTTTTTTACTCACTTTTGCTGTTTTTTACTGTTTACCGATACTCAGATGATGCAAGAATATATACTCTTAAATATTTTTTTAGAGCTTTTACTGCAGTGTGTTCAATTAGTGAACAGTGTGTGCAACAATCAGTGTGCTTAAATCGGTTCAATCATTGCGTTTAAAATAATATCAAAAGAAATGGCAATCCAACAAAACTGACAACTGCTACTCATTCTTTATTTTAACTTCAATTTCAGCACTTCGGATAATTTGTACATGATCAACCGCTTAAGGTATTTATTGAAAAAGCGTGATGAATTATAAACCAAATTTGATCAGAGTAACAATAATCGAAGTGTCTTCAGCTTTAGCTTGCTCCTGAAGTGCGATGAGTATCCATTCTTGTTGCTGGCAGCACAGACATTAATAAATAAAGTCGCTCCCTCATGACACATTGAGGCTTCATTCAAGCAAGGAAATTAGTAAGAACGAAGATAAGCGAAATGCCAAGAAAAACAATAGCATTCGCAGCAACGACGGAGGTGTTTGCATATCACACGCTTGTCAGAAGCTGCCATACATAAAGAAGGACACCAAAACATCGCGCCATGTTTTGCTTTCATTTTCATGCGAGTCAACATGCCTGGCTTCATAAATATGTGGAGTGTTACTACGCACTTGAATTTCTTACCGGCCTGTTTTGCGAAAGGCCCACTGAATGAATAACTTAATTAATGAATAATGACGCTGGCTTCAAAGTGAACATAAAACCTACATTTATGTTTATGAGTTGGTTAGAAGCATGAATGAAAATGCCTTCCTTTTTCAAGCCTTAAAACCTTGGGATATTTCTCATCAAAAATGCCTGAGCTCGTACGTTGTTCGAGTTAAATATTAAGTGAAGTATTAGACGAGACTAAATTCATACGGAATGCCATGAAAAGCTTTCTGTCAGTCAGCGCGACAGCTTCAGATTAAGCTGTGTGGCTTGCAAGGGTAAACAAAAACATGGAGAAGCTTCGCCCTCCAACTAAATTTTCGAGAGAATTATAGCTAAATATTCGTCAAATTTGTTCTCACATTTCTGGATCAAATATTAGAGGCAAGTTTATATTCAACTTTCAAACTAAAATGGGCTTGATGAATCAAAATTGCCGGGGCATTATTAAAATTATTTGAATGAAACTAATAAAAAAAATTAAAAAATACGAATTTTTTTAACATTTTTTATATTATGATGGACTAACTTAATCTTTTTGGATGAAACGAATGCTTTAGTTTAAAGGATTATGTCTAACAATAGTGAAATTTTTACCTTAAAATGAAAGCATTCAATATAAACGGAATATAATTTAAATCTAGGTACATAGTCTTTATTTTGGTTATATACTGTATCATGCAATCATTACGTCGTGTTAGCGCAAGGTGAAAAGTTGAGTGTCTGTTGTTTGCTTCAACGTCAAAATCTCTGCTAACGAGACAAAATTATTCTGCGGGAATATTAATGTCTGTATTTACTGTAAATTTCAGTAGGGTTATTTGAAAACAATAATTTGATTACCCATAATTATAATAATTGGTTCATTGATGCTGGAAATTACATTAGAAGTTTAAAATATCAATTGATTAAATTCCCGCTTGGAATTCAGACCACTTCATGCTGACATCAATCGCATGCAAACTAAAGTATATCAAAAAATATTAATATTTGATTAAGTTTTTCAATAATTAAGTAGCTAGTTTCATGACTATTCTACCAACGCGCTGAATCAAAAGCTGAGAATCACTAAAATTTACACTTTCGTTTTAATATTAATGTCCTAGAAATTTTCGCAGCTTCTTCTTGATCGATGTACGTGTATAGGAAACTGGCGAGTCGCTTGATGTATTTGGGAACACTAGGAGCCTAAGATCACACTTGACACCTCATGTATCCTCGGAGTGTCACCCTAAAAATACTGCCTTCTTAGCGATACATGACACACACTCTGAACAACTCTCACGCTCGTCAGTCAAGCTTGAGCCCCATGGTGCACCTCGCATACCGCCGGCTCTGCTACTGTTAATCACAAATTTAAAATGGAAAATATGCTTTTCTCGCATTTGGTAATTATAGATTATAGAACCAATAAAACTTACTAAAAAATATAATATGCAGCTACCAGTGATGCAGTTTCAAATCTAAGTTTTCTTTTGGTTCCTCTCACATAAAACATTTCTCATTTTAGCCTAAATTAAAGTCGCTCAAACCCTATAACCACATTATTATGGACGTTAAAACAGCAAAACTACCTATACAAATATCTAATGGAAACGTCTGTATTAAACATTGATGCAATAGATTTCAGTACACCCTTATTACGCTAAGCGCACGCAACTAATTGCGAATTCAATTTTTAATTTTCTGAATGCTAAGCGAGGAGATTATGTCACACCTCTTAAGATTATGCAGATCACAGCGCTGCACTGCAACTCCCAGCACCGATCAATAGCTTCCAATTACACCTACTGTATACCTTCTCCTGCCGTACAAATCAGGACTCGCATCATTTAAAATTATTAAATCGAATGAATTCCGTATACTTTTTATATGATTTTCTGTTATTTAGTTATTACCTGTATACTACGCGATTGCTTAACATTTTCATGTCATTTTGCTGTTAATAAATATTTTCATTTGATAGTTGCAAGGGTCGAAAGGTTCTTTTGGTCGAAACCCAAAGGTTATCTTGCCTCTTTTATGCTATGGTCTCATTAAGTGAGATTTTCGATGATGTTTTAGAATGTGCAACATCTTTTTCATTGAATGCAAATTGAGAAAATGCGTCGTTATGATTATAAAAAACCTTGAAAGAAATTCAAATATCATGAATCATGGATATAATATTATTATATTAGGATAATTTATGTTAGGAATAATTCGATAATTATTAATGGGCATAGTAATTCTTTCTACGGAAATTTTAATTGAAGCTTGAAATAATTGCGATGATTTATAGACGGTTGATTATCTCTTCAAGTTTACCAGCGAAGAAGCACATCATCATGCATCGTTCCTTCGTTGTACGACGTGTTCCCGTAATAAGTTTGTTAGTATTCTAATTTTATTTAACTATCGTACCATTTTCAGAGTTTATTTCTTGAATGAAATACCCAGAAGAAATATATTTCCGGACCTAAAACTTATACACCTAATTTTTGCAGCAGGTCGCTTTTATTCTCGCCTATAACTAATATGTAGCCAGTATATCTTATTTGCTTATCATTTTCGTGTTTTGATTTCCTGAAAAAAAAATTCTCCAGGCTTTGCCTCGCTCACTACAAATTTTTAATTGTAAAAATTTCACGAACTTACAACAGACAATATTTCGATTTCTTATATTTTACGTGTATTTTCTTTTATCGAAACGAAAAATTTCAACTCACGAGAGGGCTGTAGAACGCTGAAGAATCGACCCCGATGGAGGGATACGGGCTCTGTTCTGATGACGGATATGTGGACCCGTAGACCGCCCCAGAGGCGCCTAGACCCGAACCCAGCCTCGAGTACGAGCCCAGGGCGAGTCTGTCGTACTGGCATGAGCAGATGGGCTGACCTGAGCCAGGGTCTGTCATGATCGTACGTCCGCCTTCACAACAGCCGCCCCCACTGCTCGCTGTCGTACCCCCGCTCGCTTGACTGACTAGGAGCTGTAAAAAGGGAAAATCTTGAGTTACAGTTGTACAAAATTGCTGAAGTTTGGTTTTATTGGTTTTCTATGCATTCAAGCCAGTAACTTACTGGTACATGTTGTTTAGGTGCAGTACATTTCAGGTTCAGCTCATGCAACAGAATGTGCATGTTCCGTAAACATTTGTTAACTTCAATGCTGAATTAGCACTCATATCTGGAAATGTCATGAAATTATATTGTTTAATCCATTAAAAGATTATTTAAACTCAAATTAGAAGTGTGGTTTATATTCGCTCGAAAATCAAACGTTAGGAATTCAATTTTACTTCGTACTGTCTACTAAGTTTTTACCCAATTTGTTGATCAATTTCCATGCGCGATACCTAGAACTTTATTATTAAAGCCAATATAATTAGATCGAATGAGCTGCCTTGTAATTTCCTGCTAAATTTTATGTATTCATATATAAGATGAATTTCATATCAAATGCGTTTATACTAAATAAAGTAGGGAGAACAAGTGCTTCAAGTTATATTTTGTATTTTTATTTTGTTCATACAACTAAAACAATTAAACAAACTGAAGTCTGGAACAATATTATTGCAGCTGATATGGAAACAAGTAAATATTTAGTGTATAACGAATAACACAAGAAGATTTTGAAGTTAATCGCTTTCCTGTACTTACCAACCTCATCATTATAATACCCTGACATTGCACTGCAAATTGTGTGCTGGTTTGGCACCTTATAATAAATGTTTCGTTGTATTCGGCGTCCACTTCGAAACAATGCTTTAAATGAACGGTAATCGACAATCCTCAATATTATTTATAGTTACCGTACAAAATTTTTACGATAATTATTCAAGTTCTATGAATTTACCATGCATTCAGAAAACAATTAAAACAAGCATTCGTTATCATGATCGTGATATATTCGCGAGATTTCTATCTATATTAATCTTTAATATAATCATATATGCTTTAACTATGAAATGTTACGATTGCATATTTCGATAGCCTTCGTCTGTTACTGTTTCAACAGATATTATATTTTATTCAGATATTATTTTCAACAGATACTAACTGAATTCTTGATTTTCATCTTAAATCCTTATTAAAACTTTTATTTCCATTGGATTGTTGTAGAATTCTTAACATCAATTCATGTTAAGTACATTATTAAAGCTAAAACATGAAAACCGGGGTTTGGCGTTAATACTTCATGGTATGTGTAAACATTGTTAAATTAAACTGTGTTTTGTTTCAAAAACTCTGTGCAGAAAAATCCATTTACTGGAGTACGTACTGTCAGTCTTCTTGGTCGAATGTTAAATATTTTTTATTGCTTTGACAATACCAAAATATTTGTTCCTAATGTTTTACTGGCTAACTAAGTATTGAACAAAATTAAATATTTATTCCTGGAAAAATTATGACAATTCAAAGAACTATCAAGCAATTACAAGTCCAACACAAGCGTCGACAGGAAGCACTCGTGTCTCTTAACAAATCGATAAGCGTTCCTATATAAAACAATGCATGGAGCCCATATAAATGATATAACTACGGCGTGGAGAAGGTATAGGGGACTTATTTATACTTCCCATTCAAGACCAAGCGCTGGAAATCGAAAGATAAACATGGGTGGCCTTCTTTGGCAAGCGGTCGGCCGCTTTCAATTTACATAAGTTGTTAAGTAGGAACGGTTTTGGTGACCTTCTCGAGCCCTCTAATGAGAACAGTGCGGTAATTAGAGTGACTAATGTGGTGTAGCACGCAAACATCGCACGCTTATTGCATATAAACTGCTTTGTGGATTAAATGCGGGCGGAAGGTTCGAGGTTCTGCACCGCAGGATTCTTTTATATTTATCGAAGTCTTTCGACGAGCAAATTGAATGTTTTAATTATCTATGATATAATATAAACTAAATTATGTACTCATACGAATGCTGAAATTTCAAACTACTAAACTGACTAAACGGCTATTACAAGGCAAGCAAGATTAGTAGCTAGGTATGTCTTTATTCTTTTTAAAGTCATTGGTAAAAAATTTAGAAATTGGTACACACAAGCGCATATATATATACGAGAGTGTTTCATATATTTTCAAAGCCATATTTAATTTACATTGAATATTCAGTCGAGCCTGACAGTCCAGTGACGAGTTTGTTAGCTATGCGAAAGATCACAGAAGCTTTGACCGAAATGCTGGCCTCATATACAAAACTGCTGCCATAATCAGAATTATAAGAATAATCAAATTTACTTCGTAATGAATAATCAAGTAGTCTTTAAATAATAGTGGAGTAACGTTTGATTACCAATGATGTTCATTATAAACTTACCACGGCTTTGCTCGCTAGAAAGAAGAAGCTTCGTTAAGAATTATCATAATTTAAAAAAAATTCTAAGGTGTTTTGGAAAATTACACATTGTGAAGCGTTCCAAACTTATAAGTCATCATTAAAACATTTAGTATTGCACTGTTATTTCAAATGCAAAATAATTAATTTTTTTTAATTCCAAGATTTTCCAATATAATCAATAGTATCAGCGCCCCTTTGCGACATATTCAACTTAATTGTAGTATTTGACATCATCTTTATTACAATAGATATGAAAATCATCATATCAACTGTAAAATATGGAAATAAATTTTTAAAGCTGCATTAACAAACACAGCGCATGGATGTATAACATTATTACATTTTCTATTTTTAATAAAAAACAAGCGTAGGACGAATGTATGATCATTTTATATCAAGTCCCATATACACACCACGCAATCCTCCTAGAAAGAGTACACCAAATCAAAATACAACATTTCCCTCAGCACTAATACGTTCAACCCAAGCGGCAACAAATGTGAACTTTATAAGGAATCGATTTAATTTTGTTCCTGTCTTGATGTGAATTAATTAAGTCGTGGCTCATAGTAGTTTGTAACCTTATTTTATTACTAATGATTCTCTTTGCAATCTAAAGAAGCAAACTGCATGCTTCGCTTGCCCTAAAGTTGTAACATGAATAAGGGTATAACTTTTACTAGACCTCTTGCATGTTTCAATATATTTTAGTTTATTATATGCGATAACAATTTTATAGATTACTAGTAGCTTCACGTAGCATGCATTGGCAGATTGGTGGATAATCCATGAGAGCTGCATGTCCCGTTGTCCGAATCATGATATTCCGAATATCTTTACCCGGAATCTGATACTCTCATGCTATATTGTTCAAACTGCAGCAATATTTTTAAGATAAATACCCGTGTAAATTCAGCTTTAACAACGAATTTTAAGTTTAATTTCGTTCCTAATTTCATATGAAATTTGATTGTTTGTATCATAAAATAAATCTACTAAGTAAAAAGAGAAATTTAAATCTGTATTCCAAGTTCCCGCCTCCTGTTTTGCAATGGCTAACAATTCAAGCACTAAAAATCCCGATGTCGGGTGTCGGTAATATTCCGACATGATAGATATTGTAGATACGCGCTTTGATTTACCGAATCAGCTAGGTTCTAAACGAGCGCTAAACAAATTTACAGCAAAAACAAAGAAAGCAGAAATAAATTATCTCGGCAGCATAAATACAATTTCATGAAAATGATACCTGGCACTAGTCGTCCAAAAATTTTAGACGACTAGTGTATGTATGATATTTTATTATTATTCATTATTTTAGATGACAAGTGTATGAAAATTATTTATCTTATTGTATGAGAAAGTGCAGAGCTCAATATAATTTTATAACGTATTTTGAAATAATAATTAAAGGCATAGTTCTTAGAGTAGATATTTGAACTCTGATTTTTCGGCCTATTTAGCAGCACCATATTGCATGATATTTAAGGAAAGTATTACCTGTATTATATGTGAATCCAGATAATTGTACTCAATACAGGAATATCAAAAATTACTCATTTCATCGATTAAATTCGTTAGACCATTGCGAGTTAAAATCCTTTTAAAATGCTAAACTATTCAAGTTTAAGATAAGTATTTTGGATGTTTTATGCCCATTATTATGCCTTGTCCACTTCAAAAGCCTATATATGCGATTGCACATTACAACCCATTTTCGAATATGCTTCCGACATCCCATGTTCGATAATAGTGGTTTAGATTCAGGGTTGTAATTTACTAAACAATAATACAATGTGCTATATTTTAGGTCGTAAATGTTCACCGACATCTTCGGAGGGGAGCTTTAAAATCGACATATGATGTGTGAATATATGTGTGTACGAAGCACCATCGTATAAAATAATAAGACGCTAAAAAATTAACATTCTCATTTCAACTCCTTATCCCCTGGCTTTGCAATACTTCATCAATCTATCATTGACATTTTTATTCTAGTAATCGCGGATCCCATGGGATTTGACGTCCGATTATGATGGGCTTAAAGTCACTTGCAGCCCGTCCGTGCGAGTTGCTGCAGTTGTCTAAGTTTTATATTTGCATATTCTGAAAATTCGATAACTTGGTCCTTTTTATTATCTGAATAAATTATCATAAAGGTCTATTATATAATATATAATATAATATAATAAATTATCATAAAGGTCTGTTAATCGATGTACCGAAATAGTGTGAGCAATTTTTCTGTACGATGCAGACAACTCAAATTTCATCGGAGAGTCGAATCGAAAATATTCAACTGTAACTATATACTGGCTTTACAAAAAACTGGAGCTGTGCGCATAGAAGTTGGACAAAAATAACAATAGCAAACGGTAAATAGACTATAGTTCAGTAAAAGTCTTTATGACAAGCATTACACGTTTAAGGCCACGTCATATGCACCTCATGTGAACATCTGCACCTTCTCTCGCCAAAAGATGTGCGGGGACGCGCATAGCGCAGCACGCGTCGCGCGGACGCGGTATCAGGCGCGCGTGAGATGAGCGTCGCTACGCAGCATGATAAGGCGCTATTAACGCGCGGAAGCTGGCCTGTAGCAGGCACCTGCGCGCATACTTATTGCGTGCTTTGAGCTCAATTGGTGAACACTGTAAAGTGTGCGCGACTACAGGAGTACTCCCATGTTGCCTGCGCGTTCAGTTTCGGGAGTTGTGCATGGCTTTGTCCAGCACTATTACAACTAATTTGTGATAAAACTTTGTGAACAATTTATTGATTAGAACTAATGTATGACACTACAATCCAAACAATGTATCGATTAGAACTAATTTGTGATACAGCAATGTAAACAAAGTATCGAGTAGAACGAATTTGTGACACAACAGTGTAAACAATGTATCGATTAGATCTAATTTGTGAAACAACAGTGTAAACAATGTATCGATTAGAACTAATTTGTGATACAACAGTGTAAACAATGTATCGATTAGAACTAATTTGTGATATAACAGTGTAAAAATTTAATGTATCGATTGAATACAGTTTTTCAATTTATGTTACGTTATATTTATGTTAATATTATTTTCTTCGAAATTAGTAGAGCTTCATATGTACGGATCTTGTTCTAAGATATAATCATTACATGAAAAAAGTTTGTCAACAATAAAAAAGTCTGATTTTATAAACTAATGGCTTCATGGCTCCTCCATTCTGGAAAAAATAAATGCATATATTAATTAAGTTCATCAGTTCACCTGGTGTTCAACATTTCTTATATATGTCATCTTATGGCGACCCCTTGTTCAACATTTCTTTTGTCAATTTATTGCGACCTCGTATTAAACATTTATTATATCATTTTATGGCGAACTCTTGTTCAACTTTTCTGCTGTTATTTTATGGCAAAATCGTGTTCGACATTTATTCAACCATTTTATGGCGAGATGTCATTCTTTCTTTGTACTTCAGATTATGGACTGTAGTTACTTCATCAGAGGAGATGGATCACACCGCTTACATTTTTAATAACTTCATGATTTAAAAAAGCAATAATTTTTAGAAAATGTTACTCAAGATTTTCATTCGTGAATTGTTCAAAACTGAATTTGAACAAAAACACAAAACTTCGTATTTTGTGTAGATAGTGCAGAATCATAATCGACGCTAATTTTTAAAAATTATTCAACAATATAATTAAAATTTGAAATAAACAATTTTATATGGAAAATAAATTTTTAAATTGTATTAACACCCTTTGAACAATTGAGACTTAGTCGCATGTCAGCTAAATTCTATAGGGAATTTTACCCACTTTGGTTTCAACGCGCCTAATTTCAAGCCAATCCAAGGAAAAAAATTAATTTAATATCAGAAAAATAAAGTAATCTTCCGTTTCAAGCGCACCACCTCCATCATAAGCATCCAAAGTTGCGGAGCTGGCAGCTCATCAATAATTAAAGCCTCCCTTCCGTCAATTCACGACACCAGAACTTTCTGAAAGTCATTACGCGCTCCCGAAATTAAGGAAATAATACGCGATAAAAACTTGGGTGACTGCGTGTATGCTTCGCTCCTCCATTGATGAGGGACGTAATAAGGCAGACGAGCTCCTCCTTATGGGTTTCTTAGGCCCGGGGGCGGAGAAAAGTATTGAATATTGATTGATAAGTTGAGGACCTGCGCACCTCTATGCATATAAGACGAGGACATTTTTAGTGGTCCTCATATCGCATTAGGACGCGTCATCATTTAGACCATGGCCGGGCTTGTCAATTAAAAGTTCGCACAGCGCGCTTCAGCAGACGGAAAATTTTCTAGGACTTGAAGTAGTTGATCTAACGTACAAGTTATGCATTGAACTTGTGAAAATATCCCTACTTCCTTTTGTGGATTTGATAGTGAAATTTATTGTTTTGTCAAGTTTTTCCACTTGCTTCTCGATGATTTGAATCGCGGTCACATTTTCCAGTGAGAGTTTGAAAATTGTAACAGCCTGAGAAAACACGAGATTGTAGAAGAAATATTTCTTAATTTATGTGTAGGATCAGAAGACCGTTTCATTATCATAGGAGTATTAATCTTTATTTCTAAATTTATCGAGAAGCGCCTACCTGTGAGGCTGGGCTGGGGTATGGGTATCCAAACTGTGTGTAGGCAGACATGTTGAGAGGTGAAGGAGGCTCCATATAACTGGTTCAGCGACAGGGAGCCAGCCACGGGCAAAAATAGGGAACTTAATCACTGAGATGTCACCGCATGCAAAGAATATTACTACAACCTCGAAATCTTCGGTCTCTTTTAGCACGAGCCAGAAAGGGTTCTCGTAGAAGTAGGGACAAAATAAGACGACACTGCACTGCAAAGCGACCACCGGGCACAACTGGACTCAACTGATGATGTCAAACACAGGCTTCGACAACACACACAACAGCCATGAGCTCGGGCGGGGCAAAGCAAGCGCGGAAGGGAGGCGTCCGCGTTGTGCAGCGATCCCAAGATCTACAGGATCTGTTGCTATTGGTGGGCCCTATGACCGAGGCAGGTCTTCCCTCGGCTACATAGGATTATTGGCGAGGATCAGCCAAAGAAATTCCTGGAGACGAAGGAACTGAACCAACCCACACGAGAGTTACTCGCAACACATCCCTGATTGGACGATGTCCGATGACAGTCAAGCATGGAGTAGAGAATTAGTCGAACATTTTGTACAATTGTCTCTCCAATATTTACGACATATGCTTCCCAGACTAAAATACACAAGTCAACGGATTTTTCATGACCAAGTTTGTTCAAAAAAATCGAAATGATTGAATATATAGGGAGGGTGAGGTTTGGCTCGGGAAGCCCCTTTTTTGCACTCGTACCTTATACGTAACCGTACATATATATCGAACCTCTCTAGTTCGCGTATTTATGCATGACTTATTGACAACAATATAGTCTTTCGATCGTCCTCGACTCTTGCCCTTGCATTCAATTAATTTTCCATCCGCAATAAACTTGATGTTGAAAACCGTCTTTCCGTCCTGTACAATTTTTATGCGGAATGGAGAAAACTTTCGCTGTTCCGGGAAAAATCGGTAAATAAATCCGATGGAGTTACGCATTTCCCAACACCGTAAGCTGTTGAAGGAAATAATTGCTTTAATTTTTCATAGAAATTTATAAATGATAGATTGCTAAACGCTGTTTTACAGTATAAATGCATATGTCAAATATAATGGTTGGCAACATTTACCATAAACCACTATAGAAGGATTCTCAAACCAAGTTTAATTTCACTAGCAAAACGTGTCTCTAACTATAATGAACTCAATTAATTTTAGGTATTGATTTAACTAACCGTAATTTAAATTCAAAATTAGTGTTTATAGCGAGCTTTGTGCGCACGATTGACTATATAAACACCTCGGTTATATTCTGATTCTATAACTTCCGTACATATAATATACTCGTATATGAAGAACGCCTATTGGGATGCTTATACCTATTAATTCAAAGAGTGGGATACACAATTGAGGGCTGTTCTATCAGATTAAGTACTCTTATATTAATGGGAAATAATGATACTCAACAGTTTCTTTAATCCCAAGAAATTTAACGCTATTACGTAACTATTTTTGGCAGTATTTATTGTTGCGCAAAAAATCTTAAAAAGTAACTCACAAATAATATCGTATTCGTCAGAGTTTTCGAGTTGTCGAAGTTTTCCTCACGCCGATACTGAGTGATATTTGTAAAGATCAGCAACTTATTTAAAAAATATAACTCAGTACTCGCAGCAGTGAGTGACAGAGAGCGCATTTTCTCGTTGACGAAAACTTGAGGTCACGGACAGACGGACGGACAGACAGACAGACGGACATGGCGAGCACAATAGTGCATTTTTTCCATAAATGAGAAAATACGCTAAAAAGGAATTTTTAAGTGTGAAAATAAAGAAAATCTGGAACAGAGGATTTCTCAGGGGCATGATTAAAGTTAAGAGGCAAATATGGCGTTTGCCACCTTTCATTTTAAACTATATATATTGCCACCATTAATCACGATTAAAATTTTTATTATTGTGCTCTAATTACTTCGTACCAAATAGGATTGATTAGTTTTGCAAATTACAAATAAGAATCCATTTAAGTAAGTTAAATTGATAAGGAGGCTGGTAATTACCTTGAACATGTTCAGTCCCATAGTCAAATGTTTGCACTGGAACCCGTAGAATTGTTAATTTGCGCAATTATAGTGCTGTTTCTTTGTGTTATCACTGCTACTGATTTTAATTAGGTCATCCAAAATTTAGTAAACCAAAATTTTGCGCTAGACATTCAAGTTAAAGGGGCAATTTCTCTTGTATATACACGATGTTGACCCAAGTAAAATGAATTATTTCTCGGGTTGTAATTCTTCCAAAGATAAATTAACATTGGATATGTATGTATATCATTCACATTATTACTCCATTAGTGGCTTACAAATTCAAGAAGTAGGATCTCGCTTCACTTTCAAACTTAGTAATAAAAGATTCTGCTATCTCCGAGTCGTGATTCAAACAAAACAAAGTGCCCGACCGACGAAGATTATCAAATAGCAGACAAGCTCAACACATATTCGTTAGAATTAGATGCGTTCGATGTAAACGTAATGAAACATGATCTAAAACTGAAATAAGTCGTTTATTCTTTTCATAAGATCAAAATCAATCATTACTTCCCACGAAATACTAAGTTTATTATAAACACACGCCTATATAGAATGCGGGTATAAACAGGACTTAACAACAATACCCTAGGATTTCCACCCCTATATATCGTGCGTACGTGGATCGTGTTGTGGTAATACACATTGTTGGTTTCAATGCATCAAGTAATGTTCATATCCTGCCTCTATACGACGCAGGTAGCACTGTTTTAAGGCCCATATGCCACAAATGAGCCGTGCGCCGCTTCATGGCCTATATATGCCACAAATAAGCCATGCGCCGCATCTTGGCCTGTAGGCCACAAATAATTAGCCATGCGCCGCTTTTTGGCTTGTAGGCCGCAAATGAGCCGTGCGCCGCTTTTTGGCCTGTAGGCCGCAAATGAGCCGTGCGCCGCTTTTTGGCCTGTAGGCCGCAAATGAGCCTGACCGCGGCCCCGCGGCGCCGTAATGCAGTCCAATGAAGAGTGGACGGCGACACCACCAGCCCGCCGTGTCCACGTCCGTCAGCGATGCCAAGCTCGCCGACCACAAATTATTTCCTATTATAAATCTTCTCTAAACTCTGCTCCCTATATGCATAGTGTGAGAATTTTCTTTCCGACAATTTTTAAAAGGGACTAACAGACTTTTTTTAATATCATAGTAACGGTAAATGAGCGCTGTTTCACTTTTTGCACCATAAATTTGAAAAAAACTATTACATATATTTGCGAATAATTTTTCATCTAGGACTTAATTCCTCGCATATATTTTCATTTATTTTCATGCTGCTCTAATAAACTACTAACCAACAACTTTATTTAAAATTCAAACTTAATAAATTCTCTTAAATTTCTCATTAATATACCTGCCCTCCGCTTTTTTTACGCACAAAAATGTATGAATATGGTTTTAAAAAACTGCCCACTATATTGCAACCAGAGTCAACGATCATGTGTAGAGCGATGTACAACAAGCTGCTTCTGTTGTCATCAGCAGGCAGCCTGAAATCAACATCAATAATTAGACGCGTTGTTTTTTCCATCGCTAATTGCGAACTGACATAAATGGACGCAAGTGTTGCCGTGTAAAAGTTGTGTCCGGCCACCGTGTTTACGAGGACCAAACTCGCGGCCGGGCGCCGGACGCGCGGCGACGAGCGCGTATGCGTAAGATGATCCGGCGCAGCGAAAAGCGCCTGGTCTTGATTTTGCAACATGAAAACCAACACAAACACGAGGCAAAACAGAGCGAGCGTTGGTTGCTTGCATGAGCCTGCAGGTGCAGGCGATCCCTTGCTTTCGTGTACGTTCAAAAATACATGGAATTACAAAAAGATTTCAGAGAAGGAAAAATTGTTCCATGAAAAAGTAGCGATGCCGACACAGGTCTGAGCCTTCAATATGAGATGAGAACAATATTTACATGCAGGGCCTAGACTAGCGTGCCTGTCGGATGTGTGTAAATGCAGACAAGAATTTTATTTCATTAATATACACGGCAATAAAATGATCAGAACAATTGCTTTGATGGCGATAACTCTTTCCTGTGAGTGGTTTGGCCAATAAAATTGTCCCCATACATTAATTTAAGATGCGAGATTTCCTCCATGCTACCAAAACAAACAAATTTAGTTAAAGCGAAATCGGTCTTCCTTCAAGACAGCAAAAAATTTTTTTACCCGAGAAATTCACGAAATTTTTCAAACCAACTGCCATGCATGCAAATTGGGTTCCACGCCTATTGGAGAACCTCGAAGTAATGAATTTTATCCATTTCCATGTACTTAAATTCAGATAAATATTATGTTGCAGGAATTATCATGACTCAATTTCAAGCGGAACAATCAAACATTCTCTCTCATACGTCTAGCATGGCAAACGCATTCACTGCACAACAATTACAACAGAAGCTCGGTTCGTTTAAAAGGTCGCTGTTAGAAGAGCTTTTTGAATGTACTGGAATTGACGTCAATGTTTCTGCTCGCGCCGATCGCCCAATGCATGTTCTGTGCATTTTTCCCCCAACAAATTGAATGTTATGCAGCAGTGTTAATTTTAATTGATGATAAAAGGGCGGAATATTTCGGTGTCGTGTTGCAGCTTCTCGTAAAAAATTCCTCCTGCAACGCAAAATGTGTTCGTGTTTTGCTCGGGTTTCCGGGATGCGAAATTTCGCATTCTATATACGCGCGCGTGTATCCAATCAAAGCTGCGCTATACCGAGCACGTCCCTATTTATTAATGCTATACCCTTGTTTTTTATTGATGAATATTTAATTTATATATTCATGCGATGCTCAAATACCGTTGATTGAACATAACTTCATTTCGCGGGGCTTGGAAATTGGTTTTAGCCAACAGATTTTGCACTTAATTTTCCGTGATATTAAATTGGAAATTTTGTTATAAGTGGAGTGAAAATTATTACTTGTTATAAGTGGAGTGATAATTATTACTTGTTATAAGTGGACCGATAATTACTGCTCGTTATAAGTGCAGCGATAATTACTGCTTGTTAAAAGTTGGGCGATAATTACAACCCATACTCCTTCTGATGATTTTTTCACTCAATTATTCTTTAGCTCCGCGAATATTATTAGCCTTGTTAATTATTTCTTATCTCCAAAAAATTTGTCGGTGCTTTTAATTTTCACAAAAATTTGAAAATATTAGAACGCACCTTTTCATGTTTCGGAAGAAATCTCAAACAAAATCTGTTT